TTGTCAAGTTCTGTCCTTTCAAGAAGCATAAATGCCGTAATTGTCACCGTTTTGGACATAAGGAGGGTTACTGTACTCCGCAGAAAAATTCTTCGGTGAGGAACAGAAGTAGTCGTTTCAAGCCGAAACAATCTCCTCGAGTACAGACTATTTATACAACTTCCAAAGTCGATGTCGCCAGCAAACGTAAGTACATAACACTAGATATTAATGGCAAACGTATTCGTCTTCAGTTGGATACGGCATCAGATATCACCGTAATTTCCCGAACTACGTGGCGCAAACTTGGTTGCCCACAGATTCTGCCGACCGAACATTTCACCAAGAATGTCTCTGGAGATAAACTGAAACTCGTGGGTGAGATAAATTGCCAGGTTCAGTTTGGTGAGCATCACTTCAATGGTGTATGTTACGTTACAAACTACCATGATTTGGATTTGCTTGGTCTTGACTGGTTAGACAAGCTCCATATCTTTAATGTACCATTAAATTCAGTATGCTCTAATGTTTCGTCTTCACCACACAACGTTGTTCCCGGAGATGTATCTGATCAATCTCTCTTGCAACGCCGTCGTCAAAAGCACGCTTCTGTCTTTCAGGACAAACTTGGTTGCTGCAAACTGTTTGGCATCCAGCATATTCGTAGCCCCCCGTACCATCCCCACTCGAATGGACAGACTGAACGTTTCGTCGACACCTTTAAGCGTGCTTATGCAAAAGCGAAGGGGGAGGGAACAACAGAAAAATTTTGGATAAATTCTTGCTGCATTATCGTACGAATGAAAAAGGACAGTTATGTGGCAGACACACAGATCACGCTCTATCCAGTACCACGCAAAGGTCAACTCGACAAAGAAGAGCTCCGAAACCTTTTCAAATAGATCCAAAAAGCAAGTCCAACACTCTTTACGGGGGGAGGTGATAGGATCCCACATATTTTGGTATTGACTGCTAACTTGCATATTTTGTATATCATCATTCTCACGCATTTTGGTAGTGACTGCTATTTTTGTATATTATCATTCACACGCATTTTGGTAGTGACTGTTAATTTTGTATATATGGTATATCATTCCCACACATTTTGTTACTGACTCTCAATGTCGCACATATGGCATATTATGATTTCTCACACACTTTGTTATTGGCTAGTAAGGTCAATTATTTCAAATGCTGTTAGCTGTCCATATTGTTGTAAAATGTATAAATACCATGGCTTTCTTTATCGTTGTTGCACTTCAATACACAGTCACAGTCCAGCCTTTGTCTTTTGATATTTGCGTGCTTTACTAAATCGGAAGGTACGACAAGTAGATAGACAGATTAGTTCAGGCGCAGACAGAATAAGGTGAAAACGTCTTCATTCAATTCCCTACAGATATAACAAATTAGCGACGGGGTTTATCTTAATTCAGTGCAGTTATAACAAATTGGCGACGGGGTTTTACTTTAATTCAGTGCAGTTATAACAAACTTGAAAAGAAGTCTTCCCAAACTCAAAACAACCCAATTCAAAGGAGTCCTCAATCAAGGCATAATACAGCTATTTCAAACTGAAAAAACATGATTACAAGAAAAGACACTTGAAGGGATATTGATTTGTTTCAGGTTTGTTCACGGATTGATATCAGTTCGAGAACCATTACTGAAAACAAGCCTTCAACTACTGGACAGCTGTTTCCTACGCCTAATTTAAAACTCACCTAACGCCCAGCCCCGCTTCGAACCCAGAACCTTCCAGCTACAAAGTGAGCTCGTCTGTCTGTCTGTCTGTTTTCGACATAGAACTTTGCACAAATGTGCGGAAGTTCAAGTCGCCACATTCCGTGTAGCACGCGAAGCAAGAGAAGAAAGTACAAGAAAAGCATAATAGAAACAGTGAGCAGAGGTGTGAGACAAAGGAGTAATAAAGAAATACAAAACAGTTTCATTGAAGATCATAAGTCACAGGGAGTGGATGCATCTGCGCCACTGAGAACGATTTTGAGCCATGTCACCAATTGTTTCCAACCATAGATTTTTACCGTCCCGAGGACCCCAGCCTGGAAGTCTACACCTTCCTACGTGGCTTAGACCAACTGTTGTGGATTTCATTGACTGATGCCAAGTTTTTGTTTGACCGCCGCTAGCTTTTTTCCAGCCTGACCCTATATCCGCTAACATTGCTCGTCGAGGGAGGCGATGGCTTGGCATACGTAACACATGTCCTAACCATCTCAGTCTTTGTAGCTTCACGACTTCGTCGATTGATTTCCCCTGTTTACCTAGAACTCTACGCCTAACCTCAATGTTGCTCACCTTATTATGCCACTTTACACGGGAAATAGAACGCAGGCACCTATGATCAAAGACAGCTAGTCTTTTCATGTCTTCCACTCTCAGTGGCCAGGTCTCACAACCATAAAGGAGGACGGAGCGGACTGATGAGCAGTACACCCGCCCTTTGGTCGATAGTCGAACATCTCGTCTACGCCAGAGTCGGCGTAAACTAACAAATGCGAAACGAGCCCCTTGTATTCGTGCTGAGATTTCGTCAGAGATCAGCCCGTTGGGGCTGATGGTACTTCCCAAATAAGTGAAGCGGTCAACGTGCTCTACCACTTCACTTCCTATTTTTAAACTAGGCGTCGATGTAGTCCAGTCCTGTAACATCATCTTGCATTTGGCGGGAGCGAATCGCATGCCAAACATTCGTAGATTGCGGCTCAAGGTGTTTAGAAGACTCTGCATTTCGTCAGCGTCTTCGCCTAGAAGGACTATATCGTCTGCATATTCCAAGTCAACGAGATTATTCCCCGGTAGCAAGTCAATCCCTGAGTCGCTGAAGTCACCTAGGGTTAAGTCCATTAACACATCTATGATGAAGTTGAATAGAAAAGGAGATAATGGGCATCCTTGACGGACACCACTGGTCGTCATCAGTTCAGATGACAGCTCGCCGTAAGCCCTCACCTGGCTGTATGAGTACGAATAGAGTGCCTTAATCAGTGCAATATATTTTCTTGGAATTCCCTTTACAGCCAAGCATCTCCAGAGAACTTCCCGATCGACAGAGTCGAATGCTGCCTTTAGGTCAAGAAATATAATGACTGTTGGACGCCGGTAGGAATGCCTATGTTCTAGAATCTGTCGGAGGGTGAAGATATGATCAATACACCCTCTTCCTGGTCTAAAGCCTGCCTGGCTCTCTCGTGTTTGTGCTTCCCGAGCACCACTCAGTCTACGCATGATTATTGAGCCTAAGACTTTAGATACTATATTAGTCAAGCTAATCCCTCTGTGATTATCACAGGAAGACTTGTCTCCCTTCTTGTATATGGGGATAATCAGTGACTTACACCAACCCGATGGGACTTCTTCTGATTCCCAGACGCTGCCTAGTACCTCAGTTAATCCAGACAGTAAGCTGTCTCCACCGTACTTAAATACCTCTGGAGTCATTCCATCAGGTCCCGCTGCTTTGCCTAGTTTCAGATTGGTGACAGCTTTAGTAACCTCAGTTAGTGACGGAGGACCTGTGTCTATATCCCATTCAGGGAGGTGTTGGATGCTCGGAAGGTTGAGCGTGGCTGTGGGCAAATTAAACTGCTCCTCATAATGCTCTTTCCAACGATCCAGTCGTCTATCCTGTGAGCTAATTATAGTGCCATTTTTTTCCGAGATTGTCTCACTAATGATTTGTCTTCTCCCACCCGTTTCCCTGATGAGTCCAAAGAGTTGCCTGGTGTTGCCTATCCTCAAAGCTTTCTCCATCTCTTTGGCTTTTGTCGCCCACCACTGTTCACGGTCCTTGCGGAGACTTTTCGTAAGTTTCCTCTTGTGCAGCTTTCGCTCCTCATTGAATTCGGAGCTCGCCGGAATAAGTCTTCTAGCATCTATCAGTTCGGATGAGGCGGTGGAGATCCAGTGGTTTTTACTCACCTTTGGGTTTACCTTATTCACAGCTTTTACAGCTGTATCTATGGCTGCCTGGATATTTTTCCAAGCTTCTTCAGGGTGAGCACAGCTGTCGAACACAGATATGTGTTTAGCTAGTTCTTCCTGAAATACGGATTTAGTTTCCTGATCGAGCTGGGGACGTGATGGTTTTACCGCCAGCTGTTTCCTACGTCCGTTCAGTCGTAAGCACACCCGAGCGCGGACCAGTGCATGGTCGGTATCTACGCACGTGTTCCAGAAGGAGCGACAATCTCCTACCGACCCACGCCAACGATAGCTTATTGCTATGTGGTCTATTTGTGTCCAGCGTTGGTTTGATGAAGGGGGTCTCCAAGTCAAACAGTGTCTCTCCTTGTGTTTAAAGTTAGTGCTTACAAGAAACAAATGATTATCAGAGCAGAACTGTAGGAGACGGTCACCGTTGTCGGTTCGCTGGCACGGAACTCCATAGGTGCCACCGACATCCTTCTCAGATTGACACAATTTCCCTACTTGAGCGTTAAAGTCACCAGCTAGAACGACTATGTCTGAGCGTTTAGCCTTTCCACCAAACTAGACAGCTTTTGGTAGAACTCATCCTTCGTTTCATCTGAACTGCAGTCAGTGGGGGCGTAGGCGGAGATTACGAAAAGGCATCGGCGAGTAGTGCAGTCCTTCCTCCTTCTTACTGATCCGTTCAGGCGGACAGCACACATTCGGCTATCTACCGGGATCCAGTCAAGTAATGTCTTTTCTGCCCTAGCTCGTAGACCATTCGGTCACTGAGACCCAACCTACATCACCCGTCTTAATGGGGTTTATTATCATTCCAAACATAGAAGAATTCTCAGTTAATGGAAAGGTACCACCTACCTTTGACTATCTCATTTCATCTGTGGTAGTTAACGTTAAAAAAGTGTCAGTTGTAGCACTGAAGTTTATCAATACATTCAAACAGATTCGCTTCTTTTCGCTAGTGCTCTCTACTTCGTCCAATTATAATGTCATATGGACGCTGTTTACACATACATAGAATCATATTTAGAAAAAGTGTTTGATAAACAAATTTAAATCAAGATCACCTTCATGAATACTTTTAATGTGTAGAGCTCGTGCAGTTTTTGCTGAAAATTTCTTATCGCATAAATCACACGTAAATTTCATTCCTGTTAAAATTAAGAAGAAAATGACAATAAATAGGTGGTGATGTGATAATCAACAAATACAGTAAGGGTATTATCGATTACACACAAACACACACACACACAGAGCTGGGCTGACCACTTGTGGTTAGTGCAATGAAATCAGTCAGGGTTCCAAAGGTCACTTGATAGATCTTTGGATTATCAGTAATTTACAAGCTAGAGGTTAGAATTCTGGCCTCCAAATCATGTGTGAACATGAAGTCTAATTATCAAAATTAGTTATACGTCATTGCCTCAAATCCATGTGTGCACTACCCTTTTATATCGTTAACTTGTAACGACGGGAGACAAGGGCCGCCAGGCAACAGATCGTTTATTGAGAAAATCAACACACATTTATATATACATTGTACATGTACATTATTATATGTTACTATTAGCAGAGAAACAGCGTCTTCCGATTGCTTGTTTCCTCGCTGTCATCTCCTCATCTCATCCTCGGTCAACTCCTTGCGGGCGCTTCTTACAAAGTCAGACAATATATATGCGAACCGCATCCGCCCACTCAAAGTCTGCTGTTATCAGTTGTTGAGTTAGTCTTTGTTCGTGTTTTCTTCTCACGACCAAGACCTGGGACGTAAATATTGACGTAAATTGCTGTCTGCCAATTCTGGCTAGCAGACAGCTCTCACCACAAAGTAAGTCATTAACGAAAAGTGACTATTAGCGCAACAAAGTCTTCCGTTTCAACTTGTATTCCACGACATTTTCTATTTTGATGAAGAAATCCAACGACAGGGAGATTTATCTGCTTCGTGGAGACTTGCATACTACCTACAAAAACTGTAGTGAAGTGTCTTGAAGAAATTCTCAGTAATTCTGTTGACGAAAAAATGTCGTGTTTACGACCACGATAATTGTGAGGGTAAACTTGAAGGTGGCATTTATTCTCTGCATTTCGTTGGTCAACATAGTCACCAAACAAACTGACATATGTTATATATATTGATTGTATCAACTAATGTGCACCCAGAATCAAGATTGGTATTCGATCTTCTACAGGGCTGGACTACATTGACTTCTAGCTTAGAAATAGGGAGTGAAGTCGTTGGTGGAGCATGTTGACCACTTCACTTATTTGGGAAGTTGCGTCAGCCAGAGTCAATAGGTTGGTCGCTGACGAAATCTCAGCAGGGATACAGAAGGCTGGTTTCGCATATGCCAGTTTACACCGCTTCTGGCTTAGTAGACGTGATAAGTAGCTGACTGTCAACCAAAGGACGTGCTTGGCTGTAAAGGGAATTCCAAGAAAATATATTGCACTGATTAAGGCACTCTATTCGTACTCATACAGCCAGGTGAGGGCTTACGGCGAGCTGTCATCTGAACTGATGACGACCAGTGGTGTCCGTCAAGGATGCCCATTATCCCCTTTTCTATTCAACTTCATCATAGATGTGTTAATGGACTTAACCCTAAATGACTTCAGCGACTCAGGGATTGACTTGCTACCGGGGAATAATCTTGTTGACTTGGAATATGCAGACGATATAGTCCTTCTAGGCGAAGATGCTGACGAAATGCAGATCCTTCTAAACACCTTGAGCCGCAATCTACGAATGTTTGGCATGCGATTCGCTCCCGCCAAATGCAAGATGATGTTACAGGACTGGACTACATCGACGCCTAGTTTAAAAATAGGAAGTGAAGTGGTAGAGCACGTTGACCGCTTCACTTATTTGGGAAGTACCATCAGCCCCAACGGGCTGATCTCTGACGAAATCTCAGCACGAATACAAGGGGCTCGTTTCGCATTTGTTAGTTTACGCCGACTCTGGCGTAGACGAGATGTTCGACTAACGACCAAAGGGCGGGTGTACTGCTCATCAGTCCGCTCCGTCCTCCTTTATGGTTGTGAGACCTGGCCACTGAGAGTGGAAGACATGAAAAGACTAGCTGTCTTTGACCACAGGTGCCTGCGTTCTATTTCCCGTGTAAAGTGGCATAATAAGGTGAGCAACATTGAGGTTAGGCGTAGAGTTCTAGGTAAACAGGGGAAATCAATCGACGAAGTCGTGAAGCTACAAAGACTGAGATGGTTAGGACATGTGTTACGTATGCCAAGCCATCGCCTCCCTCGACGAGCAATGTTAGCGGATATAGGGTCAGGCTGGAAAAAAGCTAGCGGCGGTCAAACAAAAACTTGGCATCAGTCAATGAAATCCACAACAGTTGGTCTAAGCTATGTAGGAAGATGTAGACTTCCAGGCTGGGGTCCTCGGGACGGTAAAAATCTATGGTTGGAAACAATTGGTGACATGGCTCAAAACCGTTCTCAGTGGCGCAGATGCATCCACTCCCTGTGACTTATGATCTTCAATGAAACTGTTTTGTATTTCTTTATTACTCCTTTGTCTCACACCTCTGCTCACTGTTTCTATTATGCTTTTCTTGTACTTTCTTCTCTTGCTTCGCGTGCTACACGGAGTGTGGCGACTTGAACTTCCGCACATTTGTGCAAAGTTCTATGTCGAAAACAGACAGACAGACAGACAAAGGACGTGTGCACTGCTCAGGAGTCCGCTTCGTCCTCCTTTATGGCTAGCTGTGGGACCTGGCCGCTAAGATTATTGGAAGACATGAAAAGCCTGGCCGGATAGCTGTCTTTGATCATAGATGACTCCGTTCGATCTCCCGTGTGAAGTGGTATAACAAGGTGAGCAATATTGAGGTGAGGCATAGGTCCAGTGCTTGGAAGGTGAGGTGGAAAATCAGTAGACGAGACTGTAAAGTAACATCGATTGAGATGGTTAGGATATGTGTTACGTATGCCTAGCCATCACATTCTCCCACAATGGGCAATGTAGCTGATATAGAGTCAGACTGGAAAGGAACTACCGGTGGTCAAACCAAACCAGGGCTTCATCAGTCAGTCAATGAAATCCACAACAGTCAGTTTAAGCCACATCAGAAGGTGTAGATTTCGTGGTTGGGTTCCTCAGGACGGCAAACACCAATGAAGGCTGGAGACGATCGGTGATATGGCTCAAAGTGATCGTTCTCAATGGCTGGCCGGTTCAGATGCATCCACTCCTTGTGACTTGTAATATCCAATGAAACTATATTGTTTTTCGATATTACTATTCTTTTTCCTTCATATCTCTGTTTATTATCTCTGTTTTAAATGTTTTTTTGCTTCTTTCTCTTGCTTTGTGTGCTGTATAGAGAGAGTGTGGCGACTTTAACTGCTGCACATCGGTGCAAAGTTCTATGTTGAAATCAGTCAGTCAGGCCAGAGCTGGATCAGTTATCGTGGGGGGATCACCAGCATCAAGTACAACCTCCACTCTTTCCCAGGCTTATTTCGTCATGATATACATCACAAACTTACAAGAGTTGGAACCCATCGTCATTGCATTCCACGACAGTCGATGACGGGTCAACGAATTCGCCTCGCGAAATGAAGGCCTCGACGGATGATCATGGGTGCACACTGAAAACTGAAGAGCCTCAAACCATGAGAAAACAACTGTCTACTACATTGTCATTTTCCATGATTCCATAACTAACATCAATACGGGAATTAACTTGAAAAGAAGTCTTCCCAAACTCAAAACAACCCAATTCAAAGGAGTCCTCAATCAAGGCATAATACAGCTATTTCAAACTGAAAAAACATGATTACAAGAAAAGACATTTGAAGGGATATTGATTTGTTTCAGGTTTGTTCACGGATTGATATCAGTTCGAGAACCATTACTGAAAACAAGCCTTCAACTACTGGACAGCTGTTTCGTCAATCTAGTTTCAAACTCACCTACCGCCCCACCCCGCTTCGAACCCAGAACCTTCCAGCTACAAAGTGAGCTCGTAGACCATTCGGTCACTGAGACCCAACCTACATCACCCGTCTTAATGGGGTTTATTATCATTCCAAACATAGAAGAATTCTCAGTTAATGGAAAGGTACCACCTACCTTTGACTATCTCATTTCATCTGTGGTAGTTAACGTTAAAAAAGTGTCAGTTGTAGCACTGAAGTTTATCAATACATTCAAACAGATTCGCTTCTTTTCGCTAGTGCTCTCTACTTCGTCCAATTATAATGTCATATGGACGCTGTTTACACATACATAGAATCATATTTAGAAAAAGTGTTTGGTAAACAAATTCAAGAAATAGTCATTCAAAAGTACCTTCATGAACAGTTTTGATGTGTTCATCGCTTGAACGTTTTGTTGAAAATTTCTTATCGCATAAATCACACGTAAATTTCATTCCTGTTAAAATTAAGAAGAAAATGACAATAAATAGGTGGTGATGTGATAATCAACAAATACAGTAAGGGTATTATCGATTACACACAAACACACACACACACAGAGCTGGGCTGACCACTTGTGGTTAGTGCAATGAAATCAGTCAGGGTTCCAAAGGTCACTTGATAGATCTTTGGATTATCAGTAATTTACAAGCTAGAGGTTAGAATTCTGGCCTCCAAATCATGTGTGAACATGAAGTCTAGTTATCAAAATTAGTTATACGTCATTGCCTCAAATCCATGTGTGCACTACCCTTTTATATCGTTAACTTGTAACGACGGGAGACAAGGGCCGCCAGGCAACAGATCGTTTATTGAGAAAATCAACACACATTTATATATACATTGTACATGTACATTATTATATGTTACTATTAGCAGAGAAACAGCGTCTTCCGATTGCTTGTTTCCTCTCTGTCATCTCCTCATCTCATCCTCGGTCAACTCCTTGCGGGCGCTTCTTACAAAGTCAGACAATATATATGCGAACCGCATCCGCCCACTCAAAGTCTGCTGTTATCAGTTGTTGAGTTAGTCTTTGTTCGTGTTTTCTTCTCACGACCAAGACCTGGGACGTAAATATTGACGTAAATTGCTGTCTGCCAATTCTGGCTAGCAGACAGCTCTCACCACAAAGTAAGTCATTAACGAAAAGTGACTATTAGCGCAACAAAGTCTTCCGTTTCAACTTGTATTCCACGACATTTTCTATTTTGATGAAGAAATCCAACGACAGGGAGATTTATCTGCTTCGTGGAGACTTGCATACTACCTACAAAAACTGTAGTGAAGTGTCTTGAAGAAATTCTCAGTAATTCTGTTGACGAAAAAATGTCGTGTTTACGACCACGATAATTGTGAGGGTAAACTTGAAGGTGGCATTTATTCTCTGCATTTCGTTGGTCAACATAGTCACCAAACAAACTGACATATGTTATATATATTGATTGTATCAACTAATGTGCACCCAGAATCAAGATTGGTATTCGATCTTCTACAGGGCTGGACTACATTGACTTCTAGCTTAGAAATAGGGAGTGAAGTCGTTGGTGGAGCATGTTGACCACTTCACTTATTTGGGAAGTTGCGTCAGCCAGAGTCAATAGGTTGGTCGCTGACGAAATCTCAGCAGGGATACAGAAGGCTGGTTTCGCATATGCCAGTTTACACCGCTTCTGGCTTAGTAGACGTGATAAGTAGCTGACTGTCAACCAAAGGACGTGCTTGGCTGTAAAGGGAATTCCAAGAAAATATATTGCACTGATTAAGGCACTCTATTCGTACTCATACAGCCAGGTGAGGGCTTACGGCGAGCTGTCATCTGAACTGATGACGACCAGTGGTGTCCGTCAAGGATGCCCATTATCCCCTTTTCTATTCAACTTCATCATAGATGTGTTAATGGACTTAACCCTAAATGACTTCAGCGACTCAGGGATTGACTTGCTACCGGGGAATAATCTTGTTGACTTGGAATATGCAGACGATATAGTCCTTCTAGGCGAAGATGCTGACGAAATGCAGATCCTTCTAAACACCTTGAGCCGCAATCTACGAATGTTTGGCATGCGATTCGCTCCCGCCAAATGCAAGATGATGTTACAGGACTGGACTACATCGACGCCTAGTTTAAAAATAGGAAGTGAAGTGGTAGAGCACGTTGACCGCTTCACTTATTTGGGAAGTACCATCAGCCCCAACGGGCTGATCTCTGACGAAATCTCAGCACGAATACAAGGGGCTCGTTTCGCATTTGTTAGTTTACGCCGACTCTGGCGTAGACGAGATGTTCGACTAACGACCAAAGGGCGGGTGTACTGCTCATCAGTCCGCTCCGTCCTCCTTTATGGTTGTGAGACCTGGCCACTGAGAGTGGAAGACATGAAAAGACTAGCTGTCTTTGACCACAGGTGCCTGCGTTCTATTTCCCGTGTAAAGTGGCATAATAAGGTGAGCAACATTGAGGTTAGGCGTAGAGTTCTAGGTAAACAGGGGAAATCAATCGACGAAGTCGTGAAGCTACAAAGACTGAGATGGTTAGGACATGTGTTACGTATGCCAAGCCATCGCCTCCCTCGACGAGCAATGTTAGCGGATATAGGGTCAGGCTGGAAAAAAGCTAGCGGCGGTCAAACAAAAACTTGGCATCAGTCAATGAAATCCACAACAGTTGGTCTAAGCTATGTAGGAAGATGTAGACTTCCAGGCTGGGGTCCTCGGGACGGTAAAAATCTATGGTTGGAAACAATTGGTGACATGGCTCAAAACCGTTCTCAGTGGCGCAGATGCATCCACTCCCTGTGACTTATGATCTTCAATGAAACTGTTTTGTATTTCTTTATTACTCCTTTGTCTCACACCTCTGCTCACTGTTTCTATTATGCTTTTCTTGTACTTTCTTCTCTTGCTTCGCGTGCTACACGGAGTGTGGCGACTTGAACTTCCGCACATTTGTGCAAAGTTCTATGTCGAAAACAGACAGACAGACAGACAAAGGACGTGTGCACTGCTCAGGAGTCCGCTTCGTCCTCCTTTATGGCTAGCTGTGGGACCTGGCCGCTAAGATTATTGGAAGACATGAAAAGCCTGGCCGGATAGCTGTCTTTGATCATAGATGACTCCGTTCGATCTCCCGTGTGAAGTGGTATAACAAGGTGAGCAATATTGAGGTGAGGCATCGGTCCAGTGCTTGGAAGGTGAGGTGGAAAATCAGTAGACGAGACTGTAAAGTAACATCGATTGAGATGGTTAGGATATGTGTTACGTATGCCTAGCCATCACATTCTCCCACAATGGGCAATGTAGCTGATATAGAGTCAGACTGGAAAGGAACTACCGGTGGTCAAACCAAACCAGGGCTTCATCAGTCAGTCAATGAAATCCACAACAGTCAGTTTAAGCCACATCAGAAGGTGTAGATTTCGTGGTTGGGTTCCTCAGGACGGCAAACACCAATGAAGGCTGGAGACGATCGGTGATATGGCTCAAAGTGATCGTTCTCAATGGCTGGCCGGTTCAGATGCATCCACTCCTTGTGACTTGTAATATCCAATGAAACTATATTGTTTTTCGATATTACTATTCTTTTTCCTTCATATCTCTGTTTATTATCTCTGTTTTAAATGTTTTTTTGCTTCTTTCTCTTGCTTTGTGTGCTGTATAGAGAGAGTGTGGCGACTTTAACTGCTGCACATCGGTGCAAAGTTCTATGTTGAAATCAGTCAGTCAGGCCAGAGCTGGATCAGTTATCGTGGGGGGATCACCAGCATCAAGTACAACCTCCACTCTTTCCCAGGCTTATTTCGTCATGATATACATCACAAACTTACAAGAGTTGGAACCCATCGTCATTGCATTCCACGACAGTCGATGACGGGTCAACGAATTCGCCTCGCGAAATGAAGGCCTCGACGGATGATCATGGGTGCGCACACTGAAAACTGAAGAGCCTCAAACCATGAGAAAAAAACTGTCTACTACATTGTCATTTTCCATGATTCCATAACTAACATCAATACGGGAATTAACTTGAAAAGAAGTCTTCCCAAACTCAAAACAACCCAATTCAAAGGAGTCCTCAATCAAGGCATAATACAGCTATTTCAAACTGAAAAAACATGATTACAAGAAAAGACATTTGAAGGGATATTGATTTGTTTCAGGTTTGTTCACGGATTGATATCAGTTCGAGAACCATTACTGAAAACAAGCCTTCAACTACTGGACAGCTGTTTCGTCAATCTAGTTTCAAACTCACCTACCGCCCCACCCCGCTTCGAACCCAGAACCTTCCAGCTACAAAGTGAGCTCGTAGACCATTCGGTCACTGAGACCCAACCTACATCACCCGTCTTAATGGGGTTTATTATCATTCCAAACATAGAAGAATTCTCAGTTAATGGAAAGGTACCACCTACCTTTGACTATCTCATTTCATCTGTGGTAGTTAACGTTAAAAAAGTGTCAGTTGTAGCACTGAAGTTTATCAATACATTCAAACAGATTCGCTTCTTTTCGCTAGTGCTCTCTACTTCGTCCAATTATAATGTCATATGGACGCTGTTTACACATACATAGAATCATATTTAGAAAAAGTGTTTGGTAAACAAATTCAAGAAATAGTCATTCAAAAGTACCTTCATGAACAGTTTTGATGTGTTCATCGCTTGAACGTTTTGTTGAAAATTTCTTATCGCATAAATCACACGTAAATTTCATTCCTGTTAAAATTAAGAAGAAAATGACAATAAATAGGTGGTGATGTGATAATCAACAAATACAGTAAGGGTATTATCGATTACACACAAACACACACACACACAGAGCTGGGCTGACCACTTGTGGTTAGTGCAATGAAATCAGTCAGGGTTCCAAAGGTCACTTGATAGATCTTTGGATTATCAGTAATTTACAAGCTAGAGGTTAGAATTCTGGCCTCCAAATCATGTGTGAACATGAAGTCTAGTTATCAAAATTAGTTATACGTCATTGCCTCAAATCCATGTGTGCACTACCCTTTTATATCGTTAACTTGTAACGACGGGAGACAAGGGCCGCCAGGCAACAGATCGTTTATTGAGAAAATCAACACACATTTATATATACATTGTACATGTACATTATTATATGTTACTATTAGCAGAGAAACAGCGTCTTCCGATTGCTTGTTTCCTCGCTGTCATCTCCTCATCTCATCCTCGGTCAACTCCTTGCGGGCGCTTCTTTCAAAGTCAGACAATATATATGCGAACCGCATCCGCCCACTCAAAGTCTGCTGTTATCAGTTGTTGAGTTAGTCTTTTTTCGTGTTTTCTTCTCACGACCAAGACCTGGGACGTAAATATTGACGTAAATTGCTGTCTGCCAATTCTGGCTAGCAGACAGCTCTCACCACAAAGTAAGTCATTAACGAAAAGTGACTATTAGCGCAACAAAGTCTTCCGTTTCAACTTGTATTCCACGACATTTTCTATTTTGATGAAGAAATCCAACGACAGGGAGATTTATCTGCTTCGTGGAGACTTGCATACTACCTACAAAAACTGTAGTGAAGTGTCTTGAAGAAATTCTCAGTAATTCTGTTGACGAAAAAATGTCGTGTTTACGACCACGATAATTGTGAGGGTAAACTTGAAGGTGGCATTTATTCTCTGCATTTCGTTGGTCAACATAGTCACCAAACAAACTGACATATGTTATATATATTGATTGTATCAACTAATGTGCACCCAGAATCAAGATTGGTATTCGATCTTCTACAGGGCTGGACTACATTGACTTCTAGCTTAGAAATAGGGAGTGAAGTCGTTGGTGGAGCATGTTGACCACTTCACTTATTTGGGAAGTTGTGTCAGCCAGAGTCAATAGGTTGGTCGCTGACGAAATCTCAGCAGGGATACAGAAGGCTGGTTTCGCATATGCCAGTTTACACCGCTTCTGGCTTAGTAGACGTGATAAGTAGCTGACTGTCAACCAAAGGACGTGCTTGGCTGTAAAGGGAATTCCAAGAAAATATATTGCACTGATTAAGGCACTCTATTCGTACTCATACAGCCAGGTGAGGGCTTACGGCGAGCTGTCATCTGAACTGATGACGACCAGTGGTGTCCGTCAAGGATGCCCATTATCCCCTTTTCTATTCAACTTCATCATAGATGTGTTAATGGACTTAACCCTAAATGACTTCAGCGACTCAGGGATTGACTTGCTACCGGGGAATAATCTTGTTGACTTGGAATATGCAGACGATATAGTCCTTCTAGGCGAAGATGCTGACGAAATGCAGATCCTTCTAAACACCTTGAGCCGCAATCTACGAATGTTTGGCATGCGATTCGCTCCCGCCAAATGCAAGATGATGTTACAGGACTGGACTACATCGACGCCTAGTTTAAAAATAGGAAGTGAAGTGGTAGAGCACGTTGACCGCTTCACTTATTTGGGAAGTACCATCAGCCCCAACGGGCTGATCTCTGACGAAATCTCAGCACGAATACAAGGGGCTCGTTTCGCATTTGTTAGTTTACGCCGACTCTGGCGTAGACGAGATGTTCGACTAACGACCAAAGGGCGGGTGTACTGCTCATCAGTCCGCTCCGTCCTCCTTTATGGTTGTGAGACCTGGCCACTGAGAGTGGAAGACATGAAAAGACTAGCTGTCTTTGACCACAGGTGCCTGCGTTCTATTTCCCGTGTAAAGTGGCATAATAAGGTGAGCAACATTGAGGTTAGGCGTAGAGTTCTAGGTAAACAGGGGAAATCAATCGACGAAGTCGTGAAGCTACAAAGACTGAGATGGTTAGGACATGTGTTACGTATGCCAAGCCATCGCCTCCCTCGACGAGCAATGTTAGCGGATATAGGGTCAGGCTGGAAAAAAGCTAGCGGCGGTCAAACAAAAACTTGGCATCAGTCAATGAAATCCACAACAGTTGGTCTAAGCTATGTAGGAAGATGTAGACTTCCAGGCTGGGGTCCTCGGGACGGTAAAAATCTATGGTTGGAAACAATTGGTGACATGGCTCAAAACCGTTCTCAGTGGCGCAGATGCATCCACTCCCTGTGACTTATGATCTTCAATGAAACTGTTTTGTATTTCTTTATTACTCCTTTGTCTCACACCTCTGCTCACTGTTTCTATTATGCTTTTCTTGTACTTTCTTCTCTTGCTTCGCGTGCTACACGGAGTGTGGCGACTTGAACTTCCGCACATTTGTGCAAAGTTCTATGTCGAAAACAGACAGACAGACAGACAAAGGACGTGTGCACTGCTCAGGAGTCCGCTTCGTCCTCCTTTATGGCTAGCTGTGGGACCTGGCCGCTAAGATTATTGGAAGACATGAAAAGCCTGGCCGGATAGCTGTCTTTGATCATAGATGACTCCGTTCGATCTCCCGTGTGAAGTGGTATAACAAGGTGAGCAATATTGAGGTGAGGCATCGGTCCAGTGCTTGGAAGGTGAGGTGGAAAATCAGTAGACGAGACTGTAAAGTAACATCGATTGAGATGGTTAGGATATGTGTTACGTATGCCTAGCCATCACATTCTCCCACAATGGGCAATGTAGCTGATATAGAGTCAGACTGGAAAGGAACTACCGGTGGTCAAACCAAACCAGGGCTTCATCAGTCAGTCAATGAAATCCACAACAGTCAGTTTAAGCCACATCAGAAGGTGTAGATTTCGTGGTTGGGTTCCTCAGGACGGCAAACACCAATGAAGGCTGGAGACGATCGGTGATATGGCTCAAAGTGATCGTTCTCAATGGCTGGCCGGTTCAGATGCATCCACTCCTTGTGACTTGTAATATCCAATGAAACTATATTGTTTTTCGATATTACTATTCTTTTTCCTTCATATCTCTGTTTATTATCTCTGTTTTAAATGTTTTTTTGCTTCTTTCTCTTGCTTTGTGTGCTGTATAGAGAGAGTGTGGCGACTTTAACTGCTGCACATCGGTGCAAAGTTCTATGTTGAAATCAGTCAGTCAGGCCAGAGCTGGATCAGTTATCGTGGGGGGATCACCAGCATCAAGTACAACCTCCACTCTTTCCCAGGCTTATTTCGTCATGATATACATCACAAACTTACAAGAGTTGGAACCCATCGTCATTGCATTCCACGACAGTCGATGACGGGTCAACGAATTCGCCTCGCGAAATGAAGGCCTCGACGGATGATCATGGGTGCACACTGAAAACTGAAGAGCCTCAAACCATGAGAAAACAACTGTCTACTACATTGTCATTTTCCATGATTCCATAACTAACATCAATACGGGAATTAACTTGAAAAGAAGTCTTCCCAAACTCAAAACAACCCAATTCAAAGGAGTCCTCAATCAAGGCATAATACAGCTATTTCAAACTGAAAAAACATGATTACAAGAAAAGACATTTGAAGGGATATTGATTTGTTTCAGGTTTGTTCACGGATTGATATCAGTTCGAGAACCATTACTGAAAACAAGCCTTCAACTACTGGACAGCTGTTTCGTCAATCTAGTTTCAAACTCACCTACCGCCCCACCCCGCTTCGAACCCAGAACCTTCCAGCTACAAAGTGAGCTCGTAGACCATTCGGTCACTGAGACCCAACCTACATCACCCGTCTTAATGGGGTTTATTATCATTCCAAACATAGAAGAATTCTCAGTTAATGGAAAGGTACCACCTACCTTTGACTATCTCATTTCATCTGTGGTAGTTAACGTTAAAAAAGTGTCAGTTGTAGCACTGAAGTTTATCAATACATTCAAACAGATTCGCTTCTTTTCGCTAGTGCTCTCTACTTCGTCCAATTATAATGTCATATGGACGCTGTTTACACATACATAGAATCATATTTAGAAAAAGTGTTTGGTAAACAAATTCAAGAAATAGTCATTCAAAAGTACCTTCATGAACAGTTTTGATGTGTTCATCGCTTGAACGTTTTGTTGAAAATTTCTTATCGCATAAATCACACGTAAATTTCATTCCTGTTAAAATTAAGAAGAAAATGACAATAAATAGGTGGTGATGTGATAATCAACAAATACAGTAAGGGTATTATCGATTACACACAAACACACACACACACAGAGCTGGGCTGACCACTTGTGGTTAGTGCAATGAAATCAGTCAGGGTTCCAAAGGTCACTTGATAGATCTTTGGATTATCAGTAATTTACAAGCTAGAGGTTAGAATTCTGGCCTCCAAATCATGTGTGAACATGAAGTCTAGTTATCAAAATTAGTTATACGTCATTGCCTCAAATCCATGTGTGCACTACCCTTTTATATCGTTAACTTGTAACGACGGGAGACAAGGGCCGCCAGGCAACAGATCGTTTATTGAGAAAATCAACACACATTTATATATACATTGTACATGTACATTATTATATGTTACTATTAGCAGAGAAACAGCGTCTTCCGATTGCTTGTTTCCTCGCTGTCATCTCCTCATCTCATCCTCGGTCAACTCCTTGCGGGCGCTTCTTTCAAAGTCAGACAATATATATGCGAACCGCATCCGCCCACTCAAAGTCTGCTGTTATCAGTTGTTGAGTTAGTCTTTTTTCGTGTTTTCTTCTCACGACCAAGACCTGGGACGTAAATATTGACGTAAATTGCTGTCTGCCAATTCTGGCTAGCAGACAGCTCTCACCACAAAGTAAGTCATTAACGAAAAGTGACTATTAGCGCAACAAAGTCTTCCGTTTCAACTTGTATTCCACGACATTTTCTATTTTGATGAAGAAATCCAACGACAGGGAGATTTATCTGCTTCGTGGAGACTTGCATACTACCTACAAAAACTGTAGTGAAGTGTCTTGAAGAAATTCTCAGTAATTCTGTTGACGAAAAAATGTCGTGTTTACGACCACGATAATTGTGAGGGTAAACTTGAAGGTGGCATTTATTCTCTGCATTTCGTTGGTCAACATAGTCACCAAACAAACTGACATATGTTATATATATTGATTGTATCAACTAATGTGCACCCAGAATCAAGATTGGTATTCGATCTTCTACAGGGCTGGACTACATTGACTTCTAGCTTAGAAATAGGGAGTGAAGTCGTTGGTGGAGCATGTTGACCACTTCACTTATTTGGGAAGTTGTGTCAGCCAGAGTCAATAGGTTGGTCGCTGACGAAATCTCAGCAGGGATACAGAAGGCTGGTTTCGCATATGCCAGTTTACACCGCTTCTGGCTTAGTAGACGTGATATCTAGCTGACTGTCAACCAAAGGACGTGTGCACTGCTCAGGAGTCCGCTTCGTCCTCCTTTATGGCTAGCTGTGGGACCTGGCCGCTAAGATTATTGGAAGACATGAAAAGCCTGGCCGGATAGCTGTCTTTGATCATAGATGACTCCGTTCGATCTCCCGTGTGAAGTGGTATAACAAGGTGAGCAATATTGAGGTGAGGTATCGGTCCAGTGCTAGGTAAGTGAGGTGGAAAATCAGTAGACGAGACTGTAAAGTAACATCGATTGAGATGGTTAGGATATGTGTTACGTATGCCTAGCCATCACATTCTCCCACAATGGGCAATGTAGCTGATATAGAGTCAGACTGGAAAGGAACTACCGGTGGTCAAACCAAACCAGGGCTTCATCAGTCAGTCAATGAAATCCACAACAGTCAGTTTAAGCCACATCAGAAGGTGTAGATTTCGTGGTTGGGTTCCTCAGGACGGCAAACACCAATGAAGGCTGGAGACAATCGGTGATATGGCTCAAAGTGATCGTTCTCAATGGCTGGCCGGTTCAGATGCATCCACTCCTTGTGACTTGTAATATCCAATGAAACTATATTGTTTTTCGATATTACTATTCTTTTTCCTTCATATCTCTGTTTATCATCCCTGTTTTAAATGCTTTTTGCTTTATTCTCTTGCTTTGTGTGCTGTATAGAGGGAGTGTGGCGACTTTAACTGCTGCACATCGGTGCAAAGTTCTATGTTGAAATCAGTCAGTCAGGCCAGCGCTGGATCAGTTATCGTGAGGGGATCACCAGCATCAAGTACAACCTCCACTCTTTCCCAGGCTTATTTCGTCATGATATACATCACAAACTTACAAGAGTTGCAACCCACATATATATTTATATGTGTGTATGTTGGTCTCTCTTTCTGTTCGCTCTCTTAGTCTGTGACCATTTCACTGGTATGAACTTGTCTCCTTTAACAATGTATATTCTCCTTATATTATATTATATATAATATGAGTGTTTGTTGACAGTCCGTTGCTTGGTGACATATATCCATATATGGTTGTTGACATGTCTGCTATATTCGCTATGTATATTTGGATCGACACTCCATTATAATTAGCCATTCATGTTAAGACTGTCTAATGATTTGTTCCCACGCTTTGTCTGGAACATTCATATATATATTTCACGTTCACAATCTTGTGACTTTACTTTACTTACTTACCACTTTGGTGTGAGATCATTTATTTTCGTCTCCTTGTGTTTGGAATAGAAGTGTCATCGCAAACCTAGTGGTCTTCTGATTTCCGCCTTCTCGCGTCAGGACTATTAGTTTTCTCGGCCAGTCCATAACAATAACTTGTCGGCGAGTACATAACAATCCCCAATCATATTTTAACTCTATCAATGTTTTCGTTTCGTCTATTCATCATTTTATATACTCTTCGTTTATTACGTTAATCGCTACTATTATTATTCTCACTTCGAATCGTCCCCTATATTATTTCACTTGTTACACTTGTCATTGTAAATCAGTTCTCTTTTTTACAACCTTAAATTCTACGTTATCAAATAATTTCACACAATATTACGTAACGCTTTTATTTCATTCGATTTGCCTACTCGTCCTATAAGTGCACACCCCTTCCAAGTTCTATCCATCCTATGAATGATTCTGTATACAACATTAATTACTTTGCTACTTGACATTTAACTATGATTATAATCACAAATATTTTAATTGCATGCATTTAATACTGCTATTATTATTTTATGCATTCACACCTATTATTCAATTCCCTCACTGGATACAATTTCTTAAAAACTACATATATATTTACGATTGTACAGCTTGATAATAAACTGGTTGAAAAGAGTCTCTTCGCTGAATAATCACTTGTTTTGATTTCAAGTATTCACACCTTTTTTATTTCAATTTTGACTCTCCCACTGGTCGATTGAACTAAAATGTTTTGCTTCTGTTGACACATCGGTTCCTAGTGCGGACGCCTTAATCATATCTGCGGATTAACTTGAAGCAATTTTGCTGAACAGGAAGATCAAAACTGAATTTTTAAAAATAATAACTGACACCCATGGCACAAGAGGTGATGGCTCTTATGGCGCTAGTGGTCTATCTGGATATAACGCGTTGGCATTTGAAACGATGAGTACTGGGGAATGCAGATATATCCATACGGAATGAAATGCACATCCTAGATTTCACTGCCAGTCTTTTCGTTCGATAATCCGTTCTTAATGTTACAATGAGAAATATCAAAATTATTAATGAAATTCTTATTAAAAATTATCATTTATCTCACCTCCATGAATGATTGCTTGATGAATTTCCAATTTATACTTCTCTGCAAATGTTTTACAACACTGTGCACATGTATAGTCCACATCTAAAGTAGTGGTCGTAGTGGGCAAAAATGAATACACACATTGACTTTAAGCCACAAATATAAAAATACAGTCGGAAAAACAAACAGTGTTAAGCTTTAATCTCATCCCATCTACGATTCATTCATAGGGAGTATCTGAAAATCTATGGAAAACTATGTTCCCCATTCAAGATTCTACCTCACGTCACATGATTTACTCATCATAAACTGTTATTCAGATAACAGTTGACACCCTAAGGTACTACACTCAACATTCTGGTATTGTTGTGTGTGTATTGTGTACTCCGAAGCTTTCAATATCCATCTGGACAACATCCTCAGAGATGACTATGATGTGAGATTGGGAATTCTCAGTAATGACTGCTTACAACTTTTGATTCAAATGTCAGCCAGACAGTTTATCAAAAGTTATGAAGTACATCTAAAATCTCAGTAAATCATTAAACGCACTATCCAATAGCTTCATTTTGTATCAACCATTGGTCTGATTCACTGCTTTAGGTGTTTCACATCTAAGTACTGGGTCACAGGCTCCAGCCCCATTTAGCTTACCAAAGGGTTGGTGACTAGGTAACCCTATCAAAGTGGGTATGGGTTACTGTCAAGTGAAAAGCAAATGGTTACTGAGTAACCTCCTTTTCATGTTGTCTGGAATTCCACAACTTACAACAGCCCTCTCCTTCAAACATTATCAAAGATCACATACCATTTAGGCGCATTGGTCATAGTGACTATTATCAACGACCCCACCCCTCATCAATTCAATAGTGCATGCAGAAGATAAGCGGATTTAGCATGTTTAAGCACCCCTACATATGAACATCCCAGTGCCAAATTAATTTCTACACTCACTTTAATGAAGTCCTCAACCTAGACGTTCTGCTTTTTAACTGTCTGTCTGGATTCAACATAGAACTTGGCACCGAAGTGCAGCAGTTCGAGTTGCCACGTTCCAAATAGCACACAGAGGTAGACAAGAAGATGAGTGAAGAGAATTAATAGAGTTTGACAAATATAAGAGTGAAACAGAATGGGTAATGGTAGAAAGGAATATGAAAGATTACAGAGATTGAATACATCTGCGCCATTGACAACGATTTTGAGCCATGTCACCTATTGTCTCCAGCCATTGATTCCTAGAGTCCCGAGGGCCCCAACCCGGGAGTCTGCATCTCCCTACCTGACTCAGTTTAACTGTCAAGGATTTCATGGATTGATGCCATGTTTTTGTTTGGCCACCACTGGCTCTTTTCCAACCTGAACCTATATCAGCTAACAATGCCCGTCGGGGGAGGCGGTGGTTAGGCATGCGCACCACGTGACCTAGCCATCTTAGTCTATGTAACTTTATAACCTCGTCGATTGATTTTCCCTCTTTGCCCAACACTCTACGCCTAACGTCAACATTACTTACCTTGTGAAACCACCTAACGTGAGACAGAGATCGCAGACATCTATGATCGAAAGCAGTCAACCTTTTCATGTCTTCAACGCGTATTGGCCATGTTTCAGAGCCATAGAGAAGGACGGAGCGAACTGATGAGCAGTACACACGTCCCTTGGTTGATAACCGGATGTCACGCCTACGCCAGAGATGGTGTAAGTCAGCGAAAGCAGCTCGAGCTTTTCGGATCCGTGCTGAGATTTCATCGCCAATCAGTCCGTTGGTGCTAATACAACTTCCCAAGTAGGTGAAGTGGTCAACATGTTCTATCACTTCACTCCCTATCACTAAGTTAGGGGTTGACGTGGTCCAGTCCTGTAGCAGCATCTTACATTTTGCAGGGGCGAATCGCATGCCAAACATACGAAGATTGCTGCTCAAGGTGTTCAGAAGACTCTGCATTTTGTCAGCATCCTCCCCTAACAGGACTATGTCATCTGCATATTCTAAGTCCATTAGATTATTCCCTGGTAACAAGTCGATTCCTAAGTCACTACGTTCAGTTAAGGATACTTCCATTAGCATATCTATGATGAAGTTAAACAGAAATGGGGAAAGTGGACATCCCTGTCGGACACCACTGGTTGTTACTAATTCAGATGACAATTCCCCATAAGCCCTTACACGACTACGTGAGTTTGAATAGAGTGCCTTGATTAGTGCAATGTACTTTCTTGGCACTCCCTTCACAGTCAGACATTGCCATAGTACTTTTCGGTCCACGGAGTCGAAGGCCGCCTTCAAGTCAAGAAATATGACAATTGTTGGACGCCGAAAAGTGTGTCTATGTTCTAGAATCTGTCGAAGAGTGAAGATATGATCTATGCACCCTCTACCTGGTCTAAAGCCTGCTTGATTTTCCCTTGTCTGTTCCTCCCGAGTTCTGCTTAGTCTATGCATGATTACTGAGCCTAGGATTTTAGAGACTATGTTCGTTAGGCTGATCCCCCTATGATTATCACACGAGGACTTGTTTCCCTTCTTGAATATCGGTATAATGAGTGACTTACCCCAGTCTGATGGTACTGTCTCTGATTCCCAGACTTTGCCTAGTACCTCAGTTAATCTACAAACTAGTATGTCACCCCCATATTTAAACACCTCCGGAATAATTCCGTCGGGTCCTGCCGCTTTGCCTCGTTTCAAATTACTGATAGCTTTTGTAACCTCACCTACAGACGGCGGACCAGTGTCTATATCCCATTCGGGTACGTGGTGGATGGCGGGGAGGTTCAGTGTGGCTGTAGGCAAGTTAAATTGTTCCTCAAAGTGTTCTTTCCAGCGTTCAAGGCGTCTATCCTGAGAGCTAATTAAGGAGCCATTTTTCTCAGAAATAGTCTCACTTATGAATTGCCTTCTCCCACCCGATTCTGTGATGAGTCTAAAGAGTTGCCTATCGCCGATGCTTTTTCCATCTCTTTCGCCTTTGTCACCCACCACTGTTCACGGTCCTTGCGGAGACTTTTAGTAAGTTTCCTTTTGTGCAGCTTTCGCTCCTCATTGAATTCGGAGCTCGCCGGAATAAGTCTTCTAGCATCTATCAGTTCGGATGAGGCAGTCGAAATCCAGTGGTTTTTACTCACCTTTGGATTTGTCTTATTCACAGCTTTTACAGCTGTATCTATAGCTGACTGAATATTCTTCCAGGCTTCTCCAGGGTGAGCACAGCTGTCGGATTCAGATATGCGTTTAGCTAGTTCTTCCTCAAATAGGGATTTAGTTTCCTGATCGAGCTGGGGGCGTAATGGTTTTACCGCCAGCTGTTTCCTACGTCCGTTCAGTCGTAAGCACACACGAGCCCGGACCAGTGCGTGATCGGTATCTACACACGTGTTCCAGAAGGAGCGACAATCTCCTACCGACCCACGCCAACGATAGCTTATTGCTATGTGGTCTATTTGTGTCCAGCGTTGGTTTGATGATGGGGGTCGCCAGGTTAAACAGTGTCTCTCCTTGTGTTTAAAGTTAGTGCTTACAAGAAACAAATGATTATCTGAACAGAACTGTAGGAGACGGTCACCGTTGTCGGTTCGCTGGCACGGAACTCCATAGGTGCCACCGACATCCTTCTCAGATTGACACAATTTCCCTACTTGAGCGTTGAAGTCACCAGCTAGAACGACTATATCTGAGCGTTTAGCCTTTCTCACCAAACTAGACAGCTTTTGGTAGAACTCATCCTTCGTTTCATCCGAACTGCAGTCAGTGGGGGCGTAGGCGGAGATTACGAAAAGGCATCGGCGAGTAGTGCAGTCCTTTCTCCTTCTTACTGATCCGTTCAGACGGACAGCACACATTCGGCTATCTACTGGGATCCAGTCAAGCAATGTCTTTTCTGCCCTAGTACTCAGAGCTATCCCTACGCCAGCTAATCCCCGTGAACTAGCTGTGGCATCTCCTGACACCCTCAAGGTGAATTTTGAAGATTCATCCTGTTGGCCAGGTGGGGTTAGGTGAATAACCACACTTGGGTCTTGTATGCGTGTTTCTGAAACACAACATACATCAATGGCTCGAGATGCCAGGGTCTTAGCTAGTGATGCTTGTTGTCCTATTTGGCAAAGTGTCCTTACATTAAATGCTCCTATATGAAATTGGTGGCGTGGCTTTAGGAGACTATCCGTGGTGGTTTTTTGGCTTTCGTCGTTTTTAGTGGACACAGAGTGAAGAGGGAGTGAGGAGCCATCAAGTAGAGGAGTTGCATCACTGGGGGGAAGGGAAGGTAATAGAGATGAAGATGAAGACAAAGATAAGTGAGGATTAGAGAGGTTTTGTGTGCGTTTTGGATTGTGAGGGCGATTGTTACTTCCCGGCTGCCCACACCGTGGAAGTTGGTTGCGTGACCGCAGAGCCCAGGGGACAACTGCTTGTGGCCGGTCACACGCGGCCTGTTTTTGTTCGTTCTTCGTTGTTTTGTGTGCCTCAGTAGCATACTTATCACTCCCGCCCTGTGACACGGCAGCAGGAAGCGCGGTCGTTGTTAATCCGGGCCACGGCCGATCCGGCATGAAATTTTGTGAATTTGTTTGGATCATGGTATTGGATGAGGTAGCTGCTTTTTGTTTAACCGCTATCCAAACAACCTGCCTGGCATGGTAGAACCTCAAGAGACATAAGTCTCAGCCAGTATAGCTTGATTAGGTCATTGCGGTGTTCAAGCCCGACCACCACGTCAAGGTAGCAGCTTTCGGTCGGGCTGCTTTTTAACACTCGTCAACAAGGTGTATCTGCAACCTCGAAGGACCTGTTGTCCCATACAACCTCTGACATTCGAGCCCTGATCAGCGATTATCGTAGTGACAGAACTGACTGAAGACTAACCGGTTTCAACGTGGAGCTTTGCATAGAACTACACCAATTCGACTTGCTACAATCCATGAAGCATACAAATGAACACAACAGAGAAAAAATGAAATTCGGTGGAACCATAACAAGCAGAAATGTCAGAAGGGAAGAATAGTAAAATTGAAAAACAACAGGGCAGATAGTAAAGTGTAAATGCATCTGTGGCATTGACAATCAATTTTCTCCAACCATTGGTTTTTAGCATCCCGAGGACCCCAACCAGCCAGTCAAGCAGTCTGCTCCTCCCGACTATTAGAGATTTCATAGACTGATGCCATATTTTCGTGTGACCACCACTAGTTCTTTTCTAACCCTAATCCTATGTCAGCTAACATTGCCCGTCGAGAAAGGCGAAGGCTACGCTAGGCATGCATAACAAATGTCCTAGCCATCTCAATCGATGTAGATTCACAATCTCATCGATTGATCCTCCCCCTTCTTATCTAACACTCGACGCCTAACCGCATTATCATCCACCCTATAAGACCACCTAATATATGAGATAGAACAGAGATACCTATGATCAGATACAGCTATGTGCACTACAATATCGTCATTCGTTAATTTAATGAAATAAAACCCACAATTAATCTTAAATACAGTTGAAACTTACCTCTGTGTACGCGTTGGATGTGTATTTTTAAAAATGTTCTGGAGGTATAACAACTGTGACATTTAGTGCACTGGAAGACTTTGGATTCTGTTAAAAAAAAGCAGAAAACAAAATAAAGAATTACGATTTGTGAATAAGTAAGTGAAGTTACCTTAAGAACAACATCTCTCAAACATTCTTCTACTTCTTTTCAATTTAATTTAAACTTATGCTTCTTAAAGGAATAATAATATTAGATAAGCTGTATCACTTGTAAACGACTACTAAAATTACTGATAGAAAAAGTTTTGGAGAGCTATTCGGTACTACAGTGTGATCAGCTTCGTGCATAATTAATACATGCATAGAAGTAGGCGATGAAGATTCATGGGCAACAACAACAACAGACAATAATCAGCATAAATGGAACCACATCCTTTAACTACCTACCTGCGAAGCATCGTTTCAACTACAGGCGGATGGAACTGATGAGGACATCAAAGCAAGGATCAGAAAAGCAAGAAAAGCTTTCATTACGCTCAAGTCTGTGTGCAGGTCAACAGCACACAGCATCAAAAATAAGATCCCGATTTTCAAATCCAATGTGAAGTCAATGCTACTTACTATACGGTTCAGAGACTTGGCCAGAGCATCATAAACAGCACCTCAAACAAACTGCAGACCTTCATCAACAGCTATCTTCGCTCAATACTCAAGATCAGATAGCCGGCCAGAAAAGATCAGCAACACGGAGATCTCTGGGAGCGAACTAACCAGGAACCGATTGTGCAACAAATAAGCAGGAAGATATGAAGGTGGATTGGTCATACTCTGAGGAGACCATCAAGTGACATCACTAGACAAGCCATTGCTCGAGTGGAACCCGAAAGAGAAGTGGCGAGTTGGTCGTCCAAGGGTGACTTGAAGGAGGACATATGAATATGAGATGATAAAACCTTCCAACCAATCGAACACAATCCCTCCAAAACCAATACTTGAAAACATGCCTAGTAGTTAAAAGTGACTGAATGTTGTTACTATTACGTTTCTGTTTTTGTTATACACATGTCTATTGGGATTACTGCTGTAGGAACGAGGAAGATGTCTAGCTCTTCTCTATAGTTTTCAATCACTGTACAGCTGACATCGATTCATGACAAAATCCGCATCGAAAGTAATCAGAATCCCTGCAAACATCGAAGTCGGAATATGAAAATGTTTTCAAAATTTCAGCTTACTTATACTCATATATAACTGAAAAGTCTAATAATATGCCGAATACAATAAGCCGTACACCTTAATTGTTATATTCGGTGAAGAAACAGTAGTCTATTCTGTCTGATTCTGTCTCTCCACAATAGCCTTCCGCGCCATCAGGAAACCAGACTGAATACAGAAACACCAAAACCACTAAGGCAATCCAATCAGTTAATGTTAGACATTGTTTTGTTTCTCTTCAGAAACTAAAACAGCATGAGGATCGTTTCTAAGTAAATCTATCCTCTGAAGCTCATAAGACTTCAAGATTTCTGTTTCTTATTTATAATTAGGCCTGAAGATAGCTGGGAGCGACTGACTACAACTTCGAAATCTGCTTTATCCTAAACACTATAGCCTCCACATACTGACTGACTGGTTTCAACGTAGAACTTAGTGTCTGTCAGTGTAGCCTGTTGGGTCATTGATATATGTAAGCCCGACCACCACGTCAAGGTAGCAGCCATCGGTAGGCATAGTCTTCAGAAAAATTCGCTGGATCATTCCGCACAGCCTTACAGTTATAATATTTACATCTTAGAACTTTAATTGTATATACAGCTTCAGTGGAGTTTTATAAAAAGATACCATTGTAACACCAGTACTTCCAGTCATCTTATTAGTATTCCCCCTTTCACAGGCTGAAAGACATTCTTGGATTAATATTCAACTCAGGTATTTAAATTTGGCGTGAAACGGAATTGCATTTCACTCAGATCACAGCACAGATAAGATTTATTGACTTTATTATTAAAATTAAGGGTAATAACTGTGAGTAAATTATTAAAAAAAATGAACCACGGGACAGGAACGCGGTAAAAAAAAGATGATGTGTTAATACAGCTCTCCATTACCTATCAATTTGTAGCAAAACTTATCATCTTCAAAATCAGTTTGATTACAATTAAAGTTTAACAGAATGTCTCAATGTACTCACCTTTAGGGGGATTTCGTTTCTTAACCACAACAACACCGACATCGTTACTACAGGTATTGTTGTTATTAATATTGTCATTGCTGTTGATGATACCACATTCACTAATCTGTTCAGGATTGCCTTCAACTAGAAAATAATAGGAACAGGATTTATTTTTTTTAATATAACGGATATAAGTACATTATCATATTGTAACGGTATAAGGCGAGAGACTTGGTCACGGGCAAGTTTATTTGGAATTTCGCATCACTATATAGCGAAATTATGTACACCTTATCTTCAATCCACCATTTTCACAAATCTCCTGTGTTGTGCAACTTCTGGCCACCTTTCATAATGTCTTTCTTTGTCTTCCTTTCACATCTCCCATGTTTCTCCACAACGCTGAATCCTTTGTCTTCTCTGACCTTAAATCTACCCTCCTCCGCCTCCTATTTCATGTTTTATGCACACGAACGTCTTTACACACTACTGGGATATCTTATCAGTACCACACGCTACAATATGGATTTAATGAGTGGATGCACAACATGGAGTTTTGCATAAAATTCACCTGATTAAAGTTCCCATCACAGCCGCTAGTAATTCCGAAAAAGAACAAAGGTTGGGGTGAACCTGACAATACTTACTCTGGACAGTTGTTTCATCCTAGTTTGGGAATCATTGTCAGTACACACCCACCGCCAAGCTTCGAAACCAGAACCTTCCGGTTACAAGGAAGGCTGGCTCGTACACCATTCAGCCACTGGGACCCGATTCAATGGCCCATGAATTCTAACTTCTACCAATTCATGAGCCATTGATTTGGGTCCCAGTGGCTGAATGGTATATGAGCCAGCTTTCCTGGTAACCGGAAGGTCCTGTGTTCAAACCCTGTCGGTGAGTGCATAGTGACTGAGATGGTTCGGGTATGTGTTACGTATGTCTACTCATCGTCTTCCTCGACGGGCTGTTAGCTGACATAGGGTCAGGCTGGAAAAGAGATAGCGACAGTCAATCCTAAACATGGCACCAGTCAATGAAATCTACAACAGTTAGTTTAAGCCAGCCACGTAGAAAGATGTAGACTTCCTGGTTGGAGTACTCTGGACGGTAAAAACCAATGGTTGGAAACAATTGGTGATATGGCTCAAAGTGATCATTCTCAATAGCTGATACAGATGCATCCACTCCTTGTGACTTATGATTTCCAGTGAAACTATATTGTCCTCCGTTATTACTATTCCTTTGTCTCACACCTCTGTTTACTGTGTCTATTATGCATTTCTTGTACTTTCTTCTCTCGCCTTGTGTGCTACAAAGAGGGAGTGTGGCGACTTGAACTGCCGCACATTGGTGCAAAGTTCTATGTGGAAAACAGACAGGCAGACGATGATTCCCAAACTAGGATGAAAGAGCTATCCAGCGCTCCCTGGTTTTTAATGGCTCTCTAGCTGATATTAATTCGTGATCAACTCGTAAAAATAAAAGTAATCCATACAAAACCAACTATAGAAAATCCTAACTCTTATTAAATGTCAATGCATAAGGCCTTACGTCCCACTTGGAATGCGAGGAGCTAAACACACGAATTCATAATGCAAATACCTTTTCAGTTTAAGTGAATTAGCTAGAAAATAACATGTAACACATAGCGAATAAAGCCAGTTATGTGTTGCAATCACGGAAAACAAGACAACCTGATTCATCAACAAAATATACATGTTAAAAAACATACAACATACTGCTAGTTAATTACACAACAGTAACCTTTCAAAAATCCCATACGGAATTGTTTTCCGAGAACAATTCTAACTATTTATATAACTTCTTATGTACCAATGAGTCAATAATGAGGTTAACAGTGAAGTGTTAGATAACGGGGTAAGATTAATCCATATTGTTGTCAAGCTCGACTGAAATGAGTACATGTGCTATGAACGTCAAAATACCGCCCTCGCTGAACAGTAATTTCAGTTGATATAAGACCACGTTACCAGAGAACTAGCGGTAGTCATACAACAACACTGCATCAACCCATTTCACTAACTGATGATCTGAGCCACGTAGAGAACTGTAACAGACGTCCCGAGGATGATAAAAATCTACAGCTGGAGACTGTTGATGAAATCACTCAGAGTCGTTCACAATGCCACAAACGTCTTTACTCCTCATCATCAACTAGGTCCTACATCCTTCCTCCTGCGTATCTTTGTCTACTATAGTTTCACCATATTTCTTTTCCCTACTTTAATTTGTGCTTTTAGGAAGTGTGGTCATTTAAAATAATGCAGTTTTGCACAAAGCTTGAAGTTAATGTTAGTCAGTCAACAGTAATCAGACGTTTTATCTTCATGTGTTGCTTTCCATTCCACCGTATTCAAAAATAACAGTATCATATCATACAATTAATAAATAGGAGATAACGTCTCCTCCTTACCTTTACTATGATTTTCCATTTCCACATCCTCATCTCTCTTCACATCATATTTCTCTAATGACTTCGATATCACATCATCTGATTGTACTGGTTGTTCAACTTTAAGATGTATTTGAGAGCTAAGATCATTTGCGGATGTATCCATTATGCTACAAAAAAACAGCAATTTGATCTATAATAAGCTCGTTGAATAGCAGCTACGCGTTGCAGTTGTACATAAACAATATATCCCAGGAAACACAGAAATGTAGGATGTCTTCTTATTTTACTAAAACAGACGTAGAATATAACTAACATTCCCGAAAACTTGAGTTACACCGTCACATATAACATCTTCTAAATGATATTCTTACTTACATACTTTGGCTAAGCGAAGAGATGTAGGATGACTCCACCTTCATGACCTACTAACTCTTCCCACAAAAAAGCAGAAGTCAACATAAAAAATCACCAAACGAACTCGAAATGAAGCTTTGAACTGCATGTGCGTATAGGATGACCATTCCTTGGGTCACCCGGATTTTAACGACTAACGAAAAAGGCGTGCAAACTGCACACGGTTTAAAACATAGGAAGTCTGTAATTGAAACGCAGTTTGATAAGGCAGATTACGGATACGAGGGAATTCCCTCCACAGTGAAAAATGTATCCCAGATATATGTATCCTCTTCATTTGTGTACGTTCCCAGAGGAACACAGGGCTTCAAGCTATATGTCTGAAGTTTTCGTAGCGGTGGTGTTTACTTTAACGGTATGGGGTTGCTAGCTTTATGCCCAACCTTCTCACTTTACCAGTCTTGTTACTGGAGTGCGTCGGTAGGGAGTCGAACACAGAACGCGTTGACTGGTTGGCGAGTAACCTACCATTGTCCATGGACGCTCCCAGATATATATATACATATATACATCGAAATGCAGACATACAATATGACACTCTTCACTTACATATATAACTTTACATATTATAAATATATTTTCAGGAAGCACAGAATACCTAATTATCCGAATGTAAACAAAAGATATTTAACCGTATCCACGGTACTTGTGAGTATGAGCAGAATTTTCTTCATGAGTATATTCTCTCTAATTTTCGATAAAAGTGTCTCTAAGATTTTCCACATGCGCACAGTAAGTGCAATGAGAATCTACGCCTGATTCCTTTCCTCTGGCAATTATCTGTTCGTATCGCGATTACTGTCTCATTAACTGACAAAGCATATTGCATCGCTTAACTTCTATTTCTATATATAATTTAACCTACAAGATTAAACGTTTCCGTGTTCATACTCCTACACTACACTTTCACAACTTAGTGATGTTATTTATTGACTTTAATGCTTAGGCTTCAACCAGTGGGTCCTAGAGCAGAATCTCAGCCAACACATATATCAGCTTGAGAATTGTAGCAGTATCGTTAACTGTCGTAGATTTTCAAACAGCAGAGACCCAGAAGAAATATATGGCAGCAGGAAGTATGACAAGCAAACTGTGAGATTCGGAGAGAAACCGATCTATAAAAACCATTGTATGACAAATATGTATACGTCATTTAATACCATGATGAAATGGTATAAAATAATCGGCAAAGTAAAACTCTAAGAACCAGTAAGTAACGGACAAATGATCTTAGACGCAACAACCACATGATAAAGGCGATTTTTGAGTATAAAATATATACATAGTCATGAAAATAATGAATTAAAAGGCAAGAAAGTATTACACAGGATATCTTTCCCTAAGGTCTGATAGAAATACCTGTCAGTTTTAGATTAGTGCCAACAGAGAAATTCAACCACATTCTGTGTGGATTATTATCTAGGTCTTCTAATCCAACCAAAAGCCGTAATCTTTCCTTAACCTAAACACAACGTGAAAATGTCCCTAAACTAACCCTAGTCTAACTCACACTAACTAACCAAACCCTAAACTATCCTCAGCATCAACATTAACTTAATCTTTCACAAACCTAAACTGAAACTTGCCCGATACCCTACCTAATAACGTAACACTCCACCAAGCATATTCTGTTCATGATTGCAATATTATTTACCAGGTTTCACTAAAATATTCCCAGAGTATTTCAAGGACAATAATGCAGCCGCACTACATTCATGTTTACCAGTGCTTATTTTAAGATCATTAAAATTAATATGAGACCAATGTACTGCTCAGTATAACTTCAGCTACCTCAAAGTCTACATTGCATCTGTAACTAGCTGTCATTCATTAATGACAGCCCAGAAAAAGAAAGAGGCTACAGTCAGTTTCTAGGTCATGATGAGTTCCTGCGTCGGCTGGTTATATGTTTTCGTGAATTAGATTTCCATTGAATTTTAACGGTTTTTTTGCATGTTTTTCCCATTTTGCAGTGTGTAGATCAGTTTATGTCACTGGATACTACTATTAAGGTGATTTTTAGCCCAAAGTTTGCAGTTTTTATGTTGATAGTCAAGGGTTATGGTGAACCTGCAATGATTCAGCCAAATAGGGTAAACTTTTATAATATAGTAACCTTATTCAATAAGTAAACTGCCTAACCGTTCTGCTATTGTTTGAGATTAAAACTAAGAGCTGGTTTCTTATCATGATTGAAAGTAAATGGAACCGACTGGGTTTGCTTATCCGCTCTGTTCCATCCCTCATAGGACAAATTAGGCTCGGACTAGCGTTATTTCAGAACTAAAAGACTCAATTCAGCACCTAGGTA